TTAAAGCACTTTTCTACAGTCCTCCTTTCCTGCAGTGACAGTATTGTCATTTTAAAAAGAGGGAATACATATCTTTCCACTCTTAAGCAGAATTCTTTGTATATTATAAAGCTCCTTATTTTGACTGTTACAGAAAATGCATTTTAACCCAAACTTAGTACCTGTGTGTGCTAAAAGGCAACTTGAAATGCCCAGCTAAACTGAATCAGAGTGGTCTGGGTATGGAAGACCCAGCTGAAGATTGTTGCCAGTGGCATAGAGAGCGAGAACTGGAGGGGAAGATTGTGTGCTGTTGATTTTCTTGGAGAAGCTTGCCCTAGCTAGTTTTCCTGATGAAAACTTGGTTGTTTTCATTGGAGGAGCTCAGGCCTTACTGTTGCTGGGATCATCAGCTGTTCTCATCAGGGAGCCCTGATCTCACCTTCAGCGTTGCTTCCTGGCTCCAGTGTAGACCCCTTAGCTTGTACATCCTCAGGCACAAATCCTCGACTCTGCCAGCATAGGCTTTCCAGCTTCCACCGCTGGACTTTGGACCTTCTTGGTACAGATCTTCCACAGGGCCTTGCATGAGACATTGCTGTAGGTTCTAGGCCTCGGGCTGGACTCGTGGAGGACCCTGCCTTGGGCTCTAGGCCTTTAGCTGGACTTGTGCAGGACACTGCTGTGGGATCCAAGTCCTCGGCTGGATCTTTTGGGTCTCTGGTGGATTGATCTTTTATATTCCTCTGCATTGGACTTTTTGGGTGAATATTATAAAATAATCCTATAAATTATTTGTCCTATATTAAATCTATTCCCTTGTCAAACCCTGACTACAACACTATGCTATTTATGAAGTTTTAATGAGTTGTATAAAACATTGTTATTGTAGAGATCATCTTATAATGACAGGAGTAAATGCATGAGCATTACAAAGTTTTTATTAATGTCAATTCTGACAGATTTAGAAACTTTGACACAACTGTTTTAGTTTGCGAATATAACATACAGCTGGCCATTGAAAAAATTATTAAAATTTTGTCAAAAGATTATATTTGTCACAACTGTATTTCAAAATGGTTGGTTTTGGAAGTCCTATTTTCAAGTTCTATTTTTGCCACTAATTTGTACATGATTTGGAAAGTCACTTGGCTTCTCTAAGTTTGTGTCCTTATGTTGAAATGAAGTAGTCAGGTGATCCTGAGCATGAAGCCATACTAACAAGGTTTCATCTGTTCACAGTAGTCCAGGGTCTGACATGGTGAGTGGCAAATACTTGTCATTCGATAAATATTCCTTTCATGAATTTATAGTAACTTATAATTGTAGCATTTCACCTTCAACAGTACAAGAATTTCTAAAAGAATTTGAAATTGTCAAGATACAAACATGGAAAATGAGGAGATGCTAAGTATTAGGTTTGTTTTCCATAATTCATTAAAAGGGGGGACTCCTTTAGGATAATCTATGTCCTAAATGTACAGACTTATCTAACTTTCCAATTAATAATAAAATTTAAGGGGCAAGAATAGTTTGTAATAGCTAAAACTTGGAAACACCCAACCCAATTGCCCATCAACTGGAGACTGGATAAAGCAGATGTGGTTTTTCTGTAAAATGGAGTACTACTCAGCCATAAACAGTGAGAAACTAGAGACATTTATAGCTAAATGGATGCATATTGAGGCCATAATCTTAAGTGAAATAAATAGGACACACATGTGTAAGTACTGAATAGTTTCTCTGGTGTGAAAAACAAAGTGTAAATTGTATAATCAATAATGTGAAATAGGAAGAAAAGGGCTAAAGGAGAAGGGGAAGTGGGATGGGTAGGGGAAAGGAAAGAAGGGAAAAGAAAAAATATAAGAAAAGGAAAAAATGGAAACAAAGTCTTTATAAATAGGGAAGGGTGGAGGGGGTGAAGGGAGGGTAGGGTTATGGGAAAAAAATAACCATGATTTGTCATGTAAAGGTACAAGATCCCAATGATGAATGTAACTATACTGCATACCTAAAAAGTACCAATAAACTTAAGGAAAATAAATTAAAGGCAAGGGACTTAGCCCAGTGGCACCTTCCTTGCAAGTACAAGGCCCTGGTACAAAAAAAAAAAAAAAAGAAAAGAAAAGAAAACATGACTTCTTAGAATTTTCAGAAACTAAGATTTTTCACTGAGACATTTCATGACAAGAATAGGCTAGAGTTCATATATCTATCTATGCATATTCATACAATAATGAGAAACAATCTAAAGGAATTAATTTCAAGTAAAATATGAATTTCCATTTATTTTCTGGGAAGGTAAAGACGTATGGACATGTTATCAGTAGGATTAATTGATAAAAGTTCTCATTTGATCTTATCTTTTAAAACATTGGACTAGCTAAAACTGCTTATTTCTCTCCTGAATTTTGGCTAAAAAAATACCTCACTTTATAAAATTTTCCTTTGAATAACTATTAGAACTCTCCTTTCCTTTTTGTTGGGCTTTCTGTCTCCCCAACCAAGAAATCATTTGCTCAGATTAAAGTTATTTACTTAAAAGAATGAATAAATGGCTATTTTCCAGAGGCAGAAATGTTCTAAAAATAAACCATTTCTCAATGAATGTATATTTGTTCAAATTTTATGCATTAGAACAATCTTCCTAGATTTCAGTCTTCTGTTCCTTAAAACACATTCCTAGGTAATTTTTCTAGCATAGCAATTTGTCAAACTTACTCATAAAATTCTTGCAGCCCAGTGTGTACAAAGGAGAGTCTAAGCAGTCAGTTAGTGGAGGGACAAAGACCCCAACCTCTCCCCACTCAGCACTGCTCCCCTCTAACAGCCATTTCTGCAGAGGTGCGTGTGCCGCAGAGCAACCTTGATAAAAAGCCAGCCCATATTCTCACATGAATGCGCATACGTAAGGTGAAAGAGTAGGTGACACACAAGTACATAACCTATTCCTTTATGTGTGTGTGTGTGTGTGTGTGTTACTGGGGATTAAACCCAAGGAGTGCTGAGCTACATCCCCAGCTCCCCAACACTGGGCCTCTGGAGAATTAAGAAAACAGCCCTTGATTGTGAGGCCATTGTAAGCATAGCTGCTCTCAGAGTATCGTCAAAGCTGCCTCCACTTGAGCTCAATTCTCCCTTGCATCTCATTTTCTGAGTTAATCTTTCATTTGGAAGATCTCAGATTCGCCCCTTGCTTTGTTTCCCATGCAATTGCCTTAGCTCAGATCTGTATCTCTTGCCTACATTACAATGGGCTCTTACTGTGCCTCCCTGGTTTCAGGCTCTTCAACTGTTAATCTTCCTTTCACATTGCTAGGAGCTAACATTCTCAAGCAGATATTACTATATAACTATCTTATTGAAAAATCTTCATTTCCTTCCTCAGTGCCTATAGCAGGGTTCCCAAAAGGTGATCCCAGGCCCAGTAGTAGCATTGGTATCAGTTGCAAACTTGTTGAAAATACAGTGGACCCTTGACTTACGAACTCACTTGGTTCCCAGGGTTGTAACTCAAGTTGGTTATAAGTAAATACAGCTGAGATCTTGATGTTTACCTGGGCACATGTTATAGATAACAAGAGGAAGATGAATCTCCCATTAACCTAATTAGCCCAAGTTGTTCGTGTCAGGCCAGTCATAACTTGAGAGTCCACTGTACAAATTCTTGGGCTCCACTCCATTTCTATTGAACCAGACACTCAAGGGTTAAAGCCCAGATCCCTGTTATAACTCACCCTCCAGGTGATTCAAATGCTCACTGAAATTTGAGAATCTGTGGACATCTTAGGGTGGCATAAAAACCCTGATTCCATTCTTGCCCCTGTCTTCTCCCTCATTGTCTCCTCTTACTCACTTGCCACCCTCCCATTTCATTCTTTGTTTTTTTGAGACAGGGTCTTGCTACATAGCCCAGATGGGCTTGCGTTGGCAGCATTCCTCCTGCTTCAGCCTGCTGAGTGCTGGGATTATGGGCGTGTGCCACCATACCTGGCTTCGTTCTTTGACTGTTTAAATATGCATTTTTCTTTCTGCTCTAAGCACTAATAAGAATGCAAGACAGTACTCTTCCTAAGTGGCTGACTGATTTGGGCTGGCAAGCTTTAATCATAGGACTTTAGGTATACAATGTGTCATTGCAAGCCACAAGTCCCTGCTGTAGTGTCTCCCTCTTCTGGGCGAACTCCCTTGTCTTTGGGACTCCAATGTCCCTTTTCCTGAATTAGTCAGAGAGCCCATCCCTAGTTCCCTGTACCACTAGCAGATAGCCTATGGGCCACCTGTAATATTTACCCCATGGTGGGGTTACCATTTGTTTATGTATTTCCCAGAATACAGGAAAAGCTTTTGCACCTTTATATAGATAGCAGCTACCCACACATCAAAATCATCTGGGAATATTTTTAAAATGTGGATATTTGAATGATCAGTTACTTAGCAAAACTACCTAGAGAATCAGCCCTACCTAGTCCTCAGCTTTGGGTTTTTTGTTTTTTTTGTGTGTGTGTGTTTTTTTTTTCCTTTTGATTTCACTTTCCCTTTGCTCTACATTGCTGCATTTAAGCAGCCAGTCATTACTAATAAAGGGCAATATTTTATTTAGTTGACTTAAGTTACTGACCGAATCTCTGGCACCTTTAAGTAATATTCTTCAAGGTCTCAAACATCCAACCATTCAACCGTAACTTCAAATTAGGGATATCTGTTAAACAGTTCCTTAAGTATTTTTCAAAATTCTAGTCATTTGAGACTTCTTGTTCACTTGGCAATCGTAGTTGATTTGGTCATAATTATTCTTAATATCCCGAAGGTGGTCCTGATGCCTTAAACCAACTCACCTGGGGCTGGGCTGGGCGAGGCAGCTGAACCCAGCTCCACCTCTTAGTCTGCTGATCGCAGCCCCGTGGCGCTTCTAACTTGCGGTGAGGTCAGAGGTCGCCTTGGGGCTCAGGCGGGGATGTTCTGTGGGGGCGGGCACAACTTGCTAGGGAGAAATCGAAACTCAGCTGTTAAAACCACTGCCTCTGCTCTTTAAAATCGCCCCTGGAGACTCTCTAAGCGTCCTGGGACCCGCTGGCTCTGGACCATGTACGTCCGCAGCACAGTTGTGGGCGCCCGGCCCGGACCCTCTCTGGCATCCCGGGACCCCGGTGTGCGGGGCGGGGAGCTGCGCCCTCTGCGAAGCCAGAAACAGGGTTTGGAGGCGGCCCCCCAGGGCCTTGCCCGGGCGAGCCTGGGGTCCCCAGACCAGAGGAGGTGAGTGTTTAACAATCTGTCTTGGGGGATGGAACCCTTGTCCCAAACATACAGGCACTTCTTTGTGTTTGGAATTGGGAGCGCAGGAACCCAACAACAGGGTTTTTGAGAGAATGAAATATTTGCCTAAACAAATCATCCATACCTTGAACCTGCTAAGTTGGGATTCTATACGAAATATCCAAGCTCCCAATCTTTTCAAAGACGTTACTGGTTCTCCTCCGTGGTTACAGGATTGAAAGATAGGGATGTATACAAACCACCTGGGCTTCTTACTAATTTTCCAGCTATCTCCAGAATTTATACTCCAATTAAGTATGAAAGTAAGGTTTTCATTGTTGTTTAAAATAGAAATGGTGCCATAAATAAAATCACCGCATTAGACACCAAGGTAAGGGTGAGAAGGAATGTGATATGGGGTAAAGAGAGGGCCCAGATGTTACCTTGAGGAGCAAACTTATATCCCATCCATACTCCCAGGTAAACTCACCTCTTGGGACCAGGAACAGGGCTGGGGGTGGAGGGACTAAGCAACTCAGGGTTGAAATGTGCCTTAAGCATGAACAGGTATGTGGCATTTGTTCTGGTCTCTGCTTCAGAGACTGCGGTTGGTATGCTGGGCACATCTATTATACAGTGTTCATGAAATGCTCTTTCCACCCAAGGAATGGGCTGCTTTCATTCAACAGGATGGTTTGTATAGACATTCCTTACAGCCTTTGAAGTGCTGTCTGTGCCTCCCTTTTCAGTGACTTCTTTGTCACAGGAAAGACAAATGCTGGTTGCTAAGGAACAGTATATAACCTTATGACCAATAAACAGTAGAGTTTCTTTCATTCCCTCCACTTTTGAAAGTATCAAGCCCTCAGTGTTATTCAGTTTAGACTTACTATTAGATAGGGTTTAAATTTAGAAATCCAATAGCAAATGGTGCATTTCTCACCTCGGAAAAAAATGGCATTTTCCACAATAGAAGCTCACTCGAGTAGCCTGTATATATCCAGAAACTGCAACATTTAATAACAGCAGAGGTCATGGACATGTTATCATTAACCATTTGTGGACATGAGACTATCATTGATGTGACTTTTTATATTTAAAAGCAATCATTCAAATGTAACAAATTATTTGTATGCTTGCATCATCTTGTAAGCATTACCAGTTGCATCTCTCTGTTTTCTTATTTGGTTGTAATTACTCCAGAATCTTGCTAGACCAATTGTTCAGACAGGGGCAATGGTTAGTAGGGCATGGTGGTCCACACCTGTAATCTCAGCACTCTGGGATTCTGAGCAGAAGGATCACAAACAAGTTTAAACCCAGCCAGGGCAATTTACTCAGACTCTGTCTCAAAAAACAAAACAAAACTACATATATTAAAAAAAGATCCAGGGACATAGCTCAGTGTCAAAGCCCTGGGGTCAATGTCTGGAACCATACACAAGCGCGCGCGCACACACACACACACACACACACACACACACACACACAAAGAAGAGGCCAGGTAGTTTTCTGATTAGTTATTTGTACTTCAGTACCATGAAGATCTCATTGCAGAGTATTTTAAAGTTTGCAATAACCAGGAAACAACTTCCTAGAATTTTTAATCTTTTTTTTTTTTTTTTTTTTTTTTTTTTTTTTTTTTTTTTTTTTTTTTTTTTTTTTTTTTTTTTTTTTTTTTTTTTTTTTTTTTTTTTTTTTTTAAACTGGGGATCTAACTCAGGGCCTTGTGCTTGCAAGGCAGGTGGCAGCACCACTGAGCTAAATCCCCAGCCCCAAGAATTCAGTTTTTAATCATTTCTCAGATTTTTTCTTTTTTTCATATGAATCAGTTGTAATAAACAGGATTATATGATACATTACATTTTATGTGCTTTACACCTAAGATCTTTATCTGACTACTCTGAATTCTCATGTCTCTGTTGCTCACATTTACCTTGTTTTATTTAATGCAAGAGGGAAAGCAAGGAGAATGGTTGACTTAACAACCTCTCATTAAAACCAACAGCAACAAAAAGTTAAGACTATTGTAGAGAGAGAAATTAGAAGCATTTTCTGATGGAAAATTAAAGGAAAGATAAAGTTACATGCTTTAATATTAAAGCTTCATTTGTTTATTCACAGCATAAACTTATTTGTGTGTTAAAGCATTGCAATTTAATCTCGTTTTGTGTGCTTCTCTCTGCTAATTCATTTGGGCATCCCCAGTGTGGGGATTAGGAGCTTGGGCTTTGATAAGTGAACTTAGGTTCAAGCTCTGAATTTGCTGCTACACTATTTGCTATCTGAATGAGATACACAGCCACTTTATGTCTGTTTCACCATTATGTGAGATAATACCATCCTCAAAGTAAGTATCCAGTAAATGTTGGAAGCCTTGACCTTATTTAACACACTTTTATTGACCAAATGTTATGCTGTCACCCTTAAATTGAGTAAGCCTTGAAAAAAACACTGATTTAAAACAGCTACTTGCCTATAACCAAAATATGCTATTAAAAATCTTTGGAAGTATCTGAATCCGTGATTCCTGAGGATCTCTGATAGACTGTCAGGCAAAGCTGAGTTCTTGATGGTACTTGGATTTAAGTAATTACAAGCATTTAATAATTCATATTGGATTTTCCAGGTATTTTTACCTGGTGATTTAATTTTTGTCACAGATTTAAAGAGAAAAAAGGTTATACATATTTATAATCCAAGGCAATCTTTTATCTTCCCTTTTATATTTTGCTTGTTTATAAATATGTTTCACTGATATCACTTCTAGATAGGTATGATACAATTGTATAGGTTTTAACCTGGTTTTGTCCAATTGTGGATAATAGGCTCTGGCTTATGTAGTAATACAGTATAATGTTCATATCTTTCAGATACTTGTCTAAAACCATACATGATTCAGGCCTTTAGTTTGATGCTGTTTGAAGGAAATAAAAAGATATTATGAAAATGTAGAATTTTACTGTACAGTTAGCTTTAACGTAATTTATATACAAATTCAGTTTGCCTTAACACTTTTGTGGCCTGTTTTATATGGAGCAGTGTAGAGTCTCAAACATGAGCAATAATAGCACATACTTATATAGCGCTCACTGTGTAACACTGTATTACACGTACTAACTCAGTCTTCTCAGCCCTGTAAGAGGATCTCTAGCTGTGGCTAATTAATTTAAAACATAGGAACAAATAACTATTCAACAAAAAAGCTGCTTACTGAGCTTACTGTCTAGTGAATGAGGTAATTACACAACAAATACATGTATTCTAAAGGAAAGCCAGAAAACTTTTCTAGGAAATGATGTTTGAGCTATTACCTACAGGGAAAAGAGAAGATGTATGTAAATGTATAAGGAAAATGTATGTGTGTATCTGTGATACTATATGTCATTTCAACCCTGACTGTATGATCCGTTGTCCTATACTTCTGTCCAATTCTGACACTACCAAGAGTTAGTGTAGCTTTCTCAAATTAAAGCTTAGTCCCACAAGACTGCTCCCAATTCAGACTTCAGAACCAACTACAAATGGACTTCCCAGCCACTGTAGTTCACCCAGAGGGCTAAATTTGGGAGCTGCTACTTCTTCTCTCCCTTAAATTTGGTAATTCACTAGAACAAATCACAGCTCAAAGAAACCTCTATCCTCAGCTCAGTTAGTTTTATGAAAAAGCATGAAGATGGGGGACAGACAAGTAGAAGAGATACACAGAACAAGAACTGCAGGGCAAAGTGAGGGGCAGTGTGCAGAGAGCTGCTGTGCTCTCCTAACGGGGGATATGAGAATCGAGGTGGGGACGGAAAGTTTTAAACCTTTACTCACACAGTTGGTTTTCTTGGCCACCAGTCCCCATCTTAAGCTTTCTAGGGACTCTCACATGAGAGATCATTAATATACAAAAGATCTTACTCTGGAGTGGGGTGGGGTGGGAGCTTGGTGACAGGCCAGAGACATTGACCAAATATTTATTTTTTAATAGAAACTTAAACGGCCCCTGTGGCAGCCACAGAAACTGTCACTCGGATCTTCAAAGAAGAACTTACTCTGAGGTGCATGGTCGGCTGACTACCCCAGCTGCCACGTTTTGCACCTGTTACACCCTTTGCTGCAGGGCCTGCTTACACTGCACTCTTCCCGGCCAGTGTCTGAGCATTCCGGGTAGTGGTGCCACTCTGTTCCTAGCTCGTTTGGGACTCCTTTCTTGGGCATCTTTTGCCAGAAGATGGCCCACCAAGCCACCCAAGATTTTCTGAAAACTGTGCAGCAGTTGGAGACGTCTGTTCCTTCCTCCTTCCTTCAGATTTTTTCCTAGGTGTCAGACCTTCTCTTGTTCTTGAGATGTTCCTGCCAGCTCCTGGTCCCTTTCCTTTGTCACTCACAGGCACTCCTCCTAGGACATCTCATCCTTGTCATGTTCCTCATGCACAGTCTAGAAACCCACTCTTAATTCTTATTTCTTCCTTTGGGACCCAGGAAACATTCCCTAATTCCTTAAATCCAACTTCACTTCTTCTCACCACTTTATTTTGCTCGGGGGAAGGAAATAACTCCTATGACAGTTTTTCTTCCCCTCATTCCCAAACTCACAAGGGAGAAGAGGGAAGAGAGAATAATGGACAGGTTAGAAGAGCGCTTATTGATGGTCAGTCTCCAATTTCTCTCCATTTTCTTTTAAAAAGTGTTGTAATTGTGTTACTTTTGTTTGTTTGTTTGGGTGTTTTGGAGACAGGGTCTCACTGTATATAGTAGTTCAGGCTGACCTTGAACTGACTATATAGCCCAGGCTGGCCTCAAACTCGGTGTGATCCTCCTGTCTCAGCTTTTCTCACCTGCTAAGATTACACACATGTTCCATGATGCCTGGTAATTGTGCTATAGTTTTGCAAAGCATCTTGTATAAGATGAAATATAATGTGAGGCATGACAATATAGTTGTTTTCATATTCAGTTTTTAAATATCACTGTTTTGTGTATATATTCTGAAATTCTGAAGTATGATATCT